TAACCTCTCTGAGTTTCACTTGCTTCTTCTGGAAAATGGAGATAAGTATGTACCTCTTAGGAATCCCTGGAAACAGAGGCAGTAGTCATGCTGAGCTCTAGGCCTGGGGTCTGGCACAGAGCACGCTCTCCCAGTGTTAGCTGCTATGATGGTTATTCCAGCTGAGATCCTTTGGGATTCTGGGATGAACACAAGAGGCTGAGGAAGCTAAAGGTCAGGAGAGGATCTGGTCCTGTCCTGATGTTAGGAATGAGAGGGTCCCTGGGAAGGGAGCAAAGCCTCCTGCTCAGAGGAATTAGGAGAAAAGGGCCAAGGCAGAGGCCAAGGCCAAAACTGTTCATTTTTGGCCACTGGCCTGGCCACCAGGGCAGGGCTTGGGCAGATACAACTTCTGAGAAGCAAAGCAGAGATTTGTGGTTAAGACCTTGACTTTAAGGGCTCAGAGAGTTCTGGGTTCAAGTTCTAACTCCTCCTTTTGTCAATGCATGATGTTGGGTGAAAGACTCCAGGGAGGCTGGGCCTCTGCTGGGGAGGCAGGACGGCCTCCGTTGGCCAGGCTCCGGGGTCCAACAGCGCAGCTACTAATCAGCCCTGTGACCTGGAGCAAGTCACTCCACCCCATGAACTGCAGGTTGGAAATGGGGAGACTCCACCTAACGCACTCGGTGGTTGGGAGGTGCGGACGGGATGTGCCCAGTGACATGCTTGTCTCTCTGCCTGACCAACAGTGCTTCGTAAAGGGTAGCTGTTACCACCATCAACCCCTTCTCTGGGGAAACCTCCTGCTCGTGACTGGTTTGAGTGTGTGGCTGTCACCTTTCACCTCATTGTCAGTCCCCAACCACCTGACCCAGAACTTTCATCACAACGCCTCCAGGGCATGCGGGGAGGGGGTGTGGCTGCAGGCACTCTTCTCCCACCACAGTGGAGCCCTGGGCCCCTGGCCTTCCTCCCCTCTCTGCCTCCCCGACGCATCCCCTTCTGAGCAGAGCTCAAGTGGGGTGCTATTTGGTGACACTGCTTCTGTGAGGGCGGGCTGTCGAGAAATGACCCCTTTCAGTCCTCGGGGATGACGAGAATGAGGACAACACAAGCTGTTGTGTTGTGCCGTAGGGGCTGGATGATAAATATTTTTGAGTCAGGCTTACACTAGATGTGATCAGACAAACTAGGTGTGTGTTAGAGGTACCCTCGGCTGCCAAGGAGGCGCCCCCTGAGAAGCGGCAGCCGTCCATCCACATCGCACAGCCAGTGGGCTCCTTACCGCCTGTGGGGGGAGTTGGGGTCACTCCAGACTCCTGGGAGGGGTGCTGCCAGAGAGAACCCCACTTCTGTGTGGGGCGCGTTGAGGATCTGGTCTGCAGCCAGTGGCTTTGCAGGCCCCGACATTCCCAGCGAAGCCTTCCTAGGAATTGCCTCCCCCGCCCTTGCCCTCGGGCGCTTCTCTGGGCGGACACTGCCCCCTGGAGGCCTGTGCCTGCCACGACACCGGGCAGAACTGACCCCACATAAGAGGAAATGGATCCAGATGATGCTTTCCTTTCCAGCATCCTCCGTGGTCTGGGGAGTTCTGGCAGTGTACTCATTCATTCTCAGCTTGAGAACCTGGAATCTGCTCTAGTGCCATGTGTTACCTTCCAGAAGAAACGCAACTCAGGGCAACTGCCAGAACACAAGTACATAGCCACAAGAGGTCTTGGGACTCCAGGCTTTCCGTATTTTGTAAAGAGGCGAGGGTCCAGGGAAAAATGATCTCTAGTGATATTTGGAATTAAGGTTGAAGATAAGTTTATTCACTTATTTTTAAAGATTTTATTTATTTATTTGACAGAGAGAGACACAGCGAGAGAGGGAACACAAGCAAGGGGAGTGGGAGAGGGAGAAACAGGCTTCCCGCTGAGCAGGGAGCCCGATCCCAGGACCCTGTGATCATGACCTGAGCCAAAGGCAGACACTTAACGACCGAGCCACCCAGGTGCCCCGAGGATAAGTTTAGAATCAAGCAAGATAACTAGTATGGAGTTAAGGGAAAAGGGGAGGAATAAAACAAAGCAAAGAAAGGATTAATTACAGGAGGGTCAGGATTAACTGGCTGGACTGAGAAAGGAGAGTCCGCAGGTGGAGGTGTGGGGATGCGGGTTCTATGGCAGCAGAACCACCCCGTGTGATAGCATGGCTGCTGTAGAGAAAAACATGAGAAAAGAGAAAACACCAAGAATCCTCCCATCTTGAATAAGCATTATTATTATTTTGGTGCATTCCCTGTTGTTTTTTTCCTATGTGTCTTCTTTTATTTTTATTTTTATTTTTTTTTTAGAGAGGGAGAGAGAAAGAATCTTAAGCAGGCTCCACGCCCAGCGCAGAGCCCGACACGGGGCTCGATCTCAGGACCCTGAGATCATGACCTGAGACGAAGTCAAGAGTCGGACCCTTAACCGACTGAGCCACTCAGGCATCCCTTATTTTTATTTCTTTAAAGTTTTATTTAAGTAATCTCCACACTCCACATGGGCTCAAACTCATGAACCCCAAGATCAAGGGTCATACCCTCTTCCGACTGAGCCAGCCAGGCGCCCCCTATGTGTCTTCCTTTAATGTCGTCATTGGAGTTAATGTCTTTATTGGATTTTTTTCAAATCATAAGAGTTAAATCATAAAACATGTGAGTTAGAGAAAAAAAAAATGTACCCATCTCCCTGCAAAAAAAGATCAGCCCCAAACGCAGAGCTGGGTTATGACTATGTCTGGGGCAGGGTCCCATCTGCACCAAGAGTCCAAGTGAATAGTCAGCAAATTGTCTCTAATCGCTGTCCAAGCAAACTGAGTCCCCAGCGCCCGTCCTGGGTCCACTAAGATCTTGGCCTCAGGGCCTCTGTCAATGTCATTTCCCCTCCTGGAATACTTGCCCACGTTCTTTCCTGGCTGACTCCCAGTACATGCATGGGTGTCTCTACCCTGTGACATTTCCCCAATATCCCAAACTAGGTGCTGTTCAAATGTGCTCCTGTAACCCACGACAGCCTTCGACCAAACTGCATTGTCATCATTTCTTAGACCCCTGACTTCTGCTAGCAGGTGAGCACTGCACAGCAGAGACCCAGAGGCCGTAGCTCCCCAGCTCCTGGCACTGAAAGACGCAGTGTGGACAGAGGCATGACAAGCCAGCTTTCTGGAGGTTCCCCCCACCCCGAGCCTGGCTGCTAACCTCTCCACCTCCTCCTCCGCTGGAAAATGATGTGGCTCAGGAAGCTGAAAGGGAAAAGTCAGTTGAGGTGATAGCTGTGTAGGAGCTCAGACATGTGAGAGGCTCAGAAAGCCCATCCCCGTCCTGCACCCATCTCCAGTTCGATCACCAGCTCTCCCCCAGGACCTAAGAGGATGGGATCAGGGTCACATTCAATTAGGCAAATACTGAGGATGTGTGGGGTGCAGGCGCAAAAGGTGTCACTCGAGATGAATCTGACAGTCTTGTCCTCGAAGGGCACCCAGTCTGGGAAGAGAAACAGCGAAGGTCTCATGGTGTGGGGTCCAGGTTAGAAGGCCAGGGTCTGGAGTCAGACAGACCTGGGCTCTTGTTCTCGCTTGGCCACTGTGTGACTTCAAGTTGCTTCCACTCGCTGAGCCTGGGATGTTGATGGAAGCTATCTCGTTGGGTGGTTGTGAAAACCTGTGGACATTCTGATGTGAAGGTATGGGAAATGGCGAGAAATGCCCCCAAATGGGAATGCACCCTGGCTCTCGTGGTCATCAACGAGGGCATGCAGATGAAAACGAATGTGTGCCGTCTAGAACGGTCTGGAACAGGGCCGGAGCGTGGGCATGGGTCAGGCCAGCCACAGAGGGGCGCAGTTGGGGCACTGGGAGCTAGGCACTTGTGGCTCGGACGGCAGCCAGTCCCTGCCAAATATCGAGGGGCTCACCCTCGTTTCCCAGTCCCAGTCTCCCTTAGTGGGTTTCTGCCACGTGGCTGGTTCTGGACCACTGTCTGTGAGCAGGAGTGATGGCTGCTGATCAGGGGACAAGTCGACTCAGACTTGATGTCTTCTCCCTCCCTCGGCTCCCTGCTGTGGATTCCAGCAGCAAAGCCCTAAAACGCAGGGGGGCTACCAGACCCTCATCAGACTTGATGAAATAAAGCTTTCTTGTGCTCAGCCATGGGGATTTGGGGTTGTTTGTTGAGACAGCTAATGCTAACTGCCCCACTGCATACAGTACTGCTGTTATTTCTGCTTAGAGGCCAAGTCGGTGGCCTGTGGTCACACAGCTCCCAAGTGGGCAGGGACCCACACCCAGGCCTGACTCACATGGCCGGTTTTGGGAACTATGCTTACTTCACCTCACGACGGCCTGCCCTCAAGCACTGCGGTCACACCTACGATCTTAAGAAGATGTCCAGCAGGGACAGCCAGATGAGCAGCTGGGACAGTCAGAACACTTGGCGGGTTCGGTGTGAAATCCTGCCATTCTGGATTGCACCGAGCACTTGCAACACTTGTCTCACTTCTGCCAGTGCTGGTGGATCAGGATAAACAACACACAAGGGAGGAACGACAGCTTGCCCCGGGCTGGCAGAGAGGACTACAGTCGGGACTGGAACCTTCATTGTGCTGATGGACGCACACGGGACGAATTCCTCCAACGTCGCTGTTTCACGCTCAGCTCCTGCCTGCCTGTCCCCCCAACCCAGAAAGGCAATATTGCAAACCATAAACTTCAGACTTAGACTTATGCTTGAATCCCTGCTCTGCCACTTACTGGCTATGTGACCTTGGGTAAGTCACTTAGCTTCTCTGAGCCTCAATTTCCTCATCTGTACAATGGGGAGAGCAATATTCATTTCTCATGGGATGGACTCAGGCTTGAGAGATAATGGATGTAAGGTGCGCAGCACAGTACTTGGTACATGTTAGCTTGTTACGATCCAAGGCAGGCTCTCTTTCTCCCGGGGAAGATTAGGGGGCTACTGGAGGAGAGGGACTCGCAGTATAGAGACTCACACCGAGATTGCTTGTATGTTTATTTACAAATGGGAGACATACACACACACACAGACATCACTGGGACATTTCAGGAAACTTGGAGCAGGGAACAGCTCTTCTTCGCTGTCCGTCTCTTCTCTGGGCTCCCTTGTGACTCAGATCAAGCTCTCTAGAAAAAGGCTTCTGACACTTCCTCGCTGGGAAGCCTGTGCGTGTGCTGGACGGGCTCTCACTGCCTCTCATGTTCAAATCTGCCTGTCCCATTGGGCTGTGGACAAAGGGCTGTGAGCCTTGGCTCAGTCATTCATATCCAGGCCAAATTCTGGATATAATTCTTTGGTGGTGACACCTCGGATCACAGCTGAAAGGAAAGAAAGAAGAAAAGATGTGTGTCTGGTGGGAGGAGTGGGAGGGAGAATGGCCAAAGGCCTGACCTACCCAGGACCCACTCTTGCACCTTCTTCTTGCTCCCCTAGTTGGCCGAGATACCCTCTTGCTACTCCTTCCAGACCCTACCACTGTGGGCCCTGCTTGGCCACCCCAAACAAGACTCACTGAACCCTCACCCCACTTGACAGAGGAGTCAAACCAAGCTCTGCTGGACTCCACACAGAGCACCTAGAGCCATCTGCTGAAAATGTAAATTTATATTTACATTGCACCTGGGGCCTGCTGAAAACCCTCACTCCTTAGCCTGGCCCAGGGGTCATGCCCTGGCCCTTTGGTGATACCATCCCTCCTGCTCCCTCAAAGACCCTTTCTGTCTCCCAGGGGAAGGGATCTGAGAGGTCTTCCCTGACCACCTTAGCTCATCCCCACCTGCCACCCTGTTCACCTCAATATTCTTCTCCATCTCTGGCCTGTTTCTTTTTATCTTTTTTTTAAGATTTTATTTATTTATTTGACAGAGAGAGACACAGCGAGAGAGGGAACACAAGCAGGGGGAATGGGAGAGGGAGAAGCAGGCCTCCAGCCGAGCAGGGAGCCCGATGCAGGGCTCGATCCCAGGACCCTGGGATCATGACCTGAGCCGAAGGCAGATGCTTAACGACTGAGCCACCCAGCACCCCTGGACTGTTTCCTTCATAGCACTTAACACATTTTATAATTCCTTTGTTTGTGTTCCTTTACTTACTGACCTTTCCCCTCCCTTCCCCCACACACCAAAACCTAAGTCACATGAGAACAGGGTCCTCCAGGTGTCTGGTTCACTAGAGTGCCCCACACCCTGCAGAGCAGCACAGAGTAGGTGTTCAGTATATATAACCTCAGAGGATAGGCTGCCCTGTCCTCTCCAGGTCCTGGGCCTGGAAAGACAGGTCTCAAGCTGGGTTCTGTCTCACAAGAGGGGATGTCCTTAACCACCAGGCTACGGTCCCCTCATCTCTTTTCTCCTTGGGGCCTGATCATCCTCCTTCCTCCATCTGTATTTCCCTCCTCTTGTTACCTCCTCTCCTTCCTCGGGACCCATTCCCCACTGGAACAGAAAAGCCCTCCCTGCCACAGACTCCCAGATGCTGATAGGCAATTCTACAGGAAGTGCTAAACTCCTGCAGTGACCAGGCAGACATCCCAGCCCTGCACCCTGTCCCAAACAGTCACTGGGTGCTGAACGCTGGAGTGCCCACCGGCCCCAGCCAGGTGACCGGACTGAGGCCATCCATGCCTTTGCTTGCTTCCAAAGTGGATTGTCCTAACCAGCCTAGGCACACAGGTGTCTGTGCCTTGGCCGAGCCCTCTGGATAGTCAGACTGTTCAAGGAAGAACAAAATACTCCTTGAAGTCACAAAGTCACCCATCTGTGACTTTCTGCCTCTGTAGTGAGTCAGCCACCTGAGGTAAGGGTGGTGTAGCAATCAGTCTGAGTAGGCCCCAGAAGACCGGGAACCACAGCCCGCAATCGAGCAGGTAGGCAAGTTCATGCTCAAACCTGCCTGGGGCTCTGAAGCAGGCTCTACACTTGAGGGAAGAGACCCCAGGGACTCCTGTAAGAGCTGTACAGCTGCTTTGGGGCATTCGGGGAGTGGGCCAGCTGAGAAGGACGGGAAGGCTGGCAAGTTGGAGGGCCCAGGAGCAAAATCCAGACACCCGGGGAAATGCGGACTCCTTCCTTCAGAAGGCTGCTCCTCTGGGGTCCTGCTGCTCACCTAGTTTGCCTAGCAGCATCTGGCCTACATCCTTGATGTCATTATATTCGTGGAGCTGGGAGATGTGGTCCTCCAGTTCATCCACATTGTAGCCTCTGGGGTGGGGGGTGGAGAGAGAGAGAGAGAGAGGATCTTTAAGAAAGCTGAGGAGGATCCAAGGTTCAGAGAGTAACAAGGCATCTATTTAAAGATTTTATTTATTTATTTATTTGTCAGAGAGAGAGAGATTGAGCACACAAGCAGGGGGAGCAGCAGGCAGAAGGAGAAGCAGACTCCCTGCTGAGCAAGGAGCTTGATGCGGGGCTCAATCCCAGGACCCTGAGATCCTGACCTGAGCCGAAGGCAGATGCTTAACCGACTGCGCCACCAGGTTCCCAGAAGGCATCTATTTAACTAGTGTTCATGGGATGCCTGGGTGGCTCTCAGGGTCCTGGAATTGAGCCCCACGTCGGCCTCCTTGCTCAGCAGGGAATCTGCTTCTCCCTCTCCCTCTGCCTGCCACTCTCCCTGCTTGTACTCTCTCTGGCAAATAAAGAAATAAAATCTTAAAAAAAAAAAACTACACAAATGTTCACTAAGGACCTACTAGGGACAAGACAGACCCTGCCCTCAGGAAGCTTACGGTAGGGCAGGGGATCTGCCTAGCCCCTCACTCCTGGCCAATCTCCCTGTGCCCTTAGGGAGTGGTTCGCAGCCATGCTGGTACTGTGTGACCCGGGCCACAGCAGGGGGATTCACAGATGGGCACATGAGTGGCTAGTCAGAGCCCCTCCCGTGTGAAATGCACATTCAAAGGCTGCTCAGTCTGTGCCACATGGCTGGAGCAAGAGGTGTGAGAAAGTCAGGAGTTGTGGAAGAGCCAGCTTCCTCCAGGCCCTGGAGAGCCCACCTGCAGAGAGAGAATGGAGTCGGTGTGCAGATGGAAGAGGCAGAGAGGGACCCAGTGATAACCTCTGCTAGGGACAGTTTTCTGCTCCCTAGTTCCTGCTCCTCCCAGGTCTGACCACACCCTACCCGAGAGAGGCTGCTGACATGCTGAATCCCTCGGCAGGGCATGGTCCTGGTTTTAGGCTAAGCTAGTGTGGCTGGGTTTCAGTTACTGGACCTCCGGTTAAAAGTTATCTTAAGCATGCTGAGGAGCCCAGTGAGACTTACTCAGATATTAACTGGGTGATCTCCTTGTCCAGCAGGTCCCTCTTCTCCTTCAGTTTCTGAATGTCGAGGTGCAGAGAATCCTTGCTGGCCCCATCAGCCTGGCCAGACTTGGGAGATGGCCGCTGAGTGGCACATAAAGTCATCAGCCAGACTGACCCATTATCCACAATTCAGAACCTACAAGTTGTCCCCAACAACCACTGCCCCCCTTCTGCTTGGTGACTGACACCCCCACCCCCTAATAAGATTACATTGCCCAGCTGCCCTTGGAATTAGATGTAGCTGTCTAAGTTCTGGTGAGTGGAAGTTAGTCAGAAATCATGTACACAAGTTCTGGGAACTGTCCTTCCAGGGAGAGGGTATGCCTTTCTCTGGCCTGCCTTCCTCCTTCCTGCTGGCTAGAATGTGGATGTAATGAAAGAGCTGAACAGCACCTTCGGCGATAAGGTAGAACCTTGTTGAAGGTGCAGTGGAGCAAGATAGAGGCCTGGGACCCTGAGGTCTGTTTAGGCCACCGTTATTTGGGGTTTTCTTTCACTCCTAGCCACACCCAATCCTAATTAAAGGGCTCATCCTGGCCTAACCTGACCCCAGATAACCTGCCTCACGTCTACTTCTTGGATGCTCCTCTCAAGTCTATGATGTCGCTGGGCTGATAATTTCATTGGGTAACAAACCCCTTCCCTGGGGCTGCAGTTCATCTTTGCCCTCTCTGCCTCTAAAAGTTGCAAAGGCCAGTGCCCGGTACACTGCTAATCTTTAGGAAATGTGTGTTGGGTCAACCGTGTACACATGATACAAGACAAAGCCAAGGAAGACATGGTTCCTACTCTTAGGACAGAGGCTTTTAATCAGTCAGTTGACAGAGAGGGAGTAAGCACTATCTGCTAGGCACTGGCAAAGGCTCCAGGGATTCAGCAATGGATAAGACATCAAGCCTGGCCCCTGCCTTCACGGAACTTATATAAAACACCCAATAATTATGTTTTTCCTCCAGATATCTCCATTTAAAGCTCTATTCCCATTTCATCAGGAAGGCCTTCGCTGACCACCCCGCCTAAAATGGTCACTCCTCAATGGCTCACTCTTCTTTTGTCCTGATATTTTATAACATCCATCACCACCTGACATATACATTTCATTAATAATATTCTGTTCATTGCTGGCCTTACGCCACTGGAGTTTAAACCCCACGAGCGCAGGGCCGGTGTTTTGTTCACTGTGTCCCCAACAGCGCCTGGCACGTGGTAGGCACTCAATAAAATGTGTCAGATGAATGGGTGAATGACAAATAATCAATCAACTAACGACAAGCCTGAAAAGTGCTTTTAAGGTGAAGTACAGTGTGTGAAGGGAGTGTCCAAATGAGCAACTGGACTGAGTCAGAAGTGGGGGTGAAGCTTCTCTGAGGGACCTCTCAGCTCTAAAGGATGAGCAGGCATCACCTTGCTAAAGAGCTGGAAGGAAAGTATTCCAGAAGGGGACAGTATATCGAAATGGCCAAGGCAGGAGAGAGCACACACGTCCGAGGGAATGAGGGGGGTTTCTGTGTGGGGTGGGACAGGTGAGGGAGGGGATCGTGGTGTTTTCAAAACCAACCACTTGTGGTGCTGTCGGGAAGGAAGAGAGACAGAGCCCACTGGGAGAGCCTGGGGTACCACCGGCAAAGGCCAGGACGCTGCTGCTTCTTTGAAGCTTGGTGGGCAGGGAGGAAAAGAAGGGGAAGCACTGAGAAATGACCTGGAGCTTCTCAGCAGAGCAAGGTCTGCTGGGGGAAGGCTTGAAGAGGGCTGGGGTGGGGAGGAGACCTGGGAGCAGCACTGACTTCCCGGTGGAGGGCCAGAAAGTGGGGGCGGGGGTGCACAGGCATACTCACAGGGGATTGGAAGGCCCCGCGGCAACTTTTGGAAAGTCCTGGTTGAGTCCTGGAGAGGAATACGAGGGAAGAAGGCTGATTGAACCTAGGGTCCGCTCTTGGAGGAAAGGGGTGTGGGGAGGTTAGGAGTTGGGAAGGGGCAGTTATGGTCCGGGATCGGGGTAGGGATGCTCAAGGAAGGGGAGACTCTGAGAGGGGGGAGTGTGTGGAGGGCTAGATGGGGGTAGACGGAAGTGATCTCTGGGACGAGAGAGTCTGGGGCAGGGATATAGGGAGTCAGGAAAGGGGCTGTGAAGGGATGCCCTTTCGGCCTGTTCTCCGCTCCTCGCCCACCTCCGGAGCCCTGGGGTCCGGGGTCCCCGCCTCGGGGGAGTATGCAGGGCAGGAGGGTCCAGGGCGAGGGCGGGAGAGCGGCCCCTCAGCTCCGCCAGGTATTCGGAATCTTATGACGGAGACCGCGAACGGTCAAAAAAGCGAGCTGCGCGCGCACCCTGCGAGCTCAGGCCCCGCCCCCCCCGAGGTGGGTGGGGACTGCGGCTGCGCGCTCCGCTCTCATTGTGACTCCACCTGTCCCCTGAGGCCCGCGGCGGCCTGGCCACGCCCCTTTTCCTTTCATCTTCCTCACTGACCAATAGGATTGGGGTATTGAGGCCACGCCCACCCAGCTGCGCCTAGAAACTCCCGGGTTCCTCCTTTCCTGGCTCAGTCGCACATCGGCGCGGTGACTGCCGGAAGCAATTCCGCGAGGGTTGCCGGGATCTTGATGATGTGGCCCCCCCTTCCCCCTCCCCGTCCCGGGATGTCGGAAGAAACCCGAGAGAGCAAACTGGCTGCGGCCAAGAAGAAGGTAAAACGTGCCGGGTCGCGGCTCCCTGACCCAGCCAAAGGCCCCTCCGAAGGCCGGGCAGTGGCCAGAGTCTGTGCTGCCCCTGAGGCACACAGGGCGAGCCCCTCGGCGCCCCTTGGCGCCCCCCCCAAAGTCTTCTCAGCCAGTCCCGCCCCCCGGCAGCCCAGCCCCCGCCCTCGCCCGTCGCCCCCGGGTGACTTTGGGCCGGTGACCCCCGGGATCCTCGCTTCGGGCTTGGCCCTCGCCATCAGCCACCCAGAACCGGAGGACCTGGGCTCCCCTGCCCGGTCCCGGTCTCCGAGGACCTCGGTCCCGGCCCTGCTTTCCCCTCCCCCACCGCGGAGCGGCGACTCGGGCGTCGGTAGGGAGGAGTGGAATGTAGTTACGTCACAATCCCCCTCGGAACTGTCATTAGCGCCACGAGCCCGGTGTTTGATCTTACTACTCAGTCTCCCAGTGTTTTCATACCCTTTCCGGTTTCTCTGATCGCGGCACAAATTTCCAGCTTCAAGGGGACTGGGGACTATGGGACCTGGGTGGGAGAGGTTTCAGGAGCCCTTACTCTAAGATTGTACCCCATCCTTAGACATTGACTTCAGCAGTGATCACAGAACGTTGATAACACCTTGGTGACAACTGGGGAGAATGTTTTTTTTAGTATGGTTTCCTCCTAGGTTTCTACTGTCTTTGTTTCACAGTTTAAATCTGAATTCTCTACCTCACATTTTAATTCCCCATGATTCTGGGAGCAGGGTCCCCCTCAATCGGTGGTCTTTAGAGTAAGATCTGCTTATCCTCTGTGGAACAGATCTCTGGAACCTGAACTTCATAGGTGGGAATCTTCTCCAAATCATCAACTCAACATGGAGTGTCCGAAGTGCCACAGAATAATATGGGACTGAAGCATCAGTTGTGCTTGATTCTCTTGACAGAGAAAAGTCATTTTATATTAACGTACCTAGGAAGGGCGTTTGCATAGATTTGTAAGATTATAATAGAATTCTCTCTGAAATGGTGGTTGGGTTGTCCTCGTTCTGTTACATTCCCACATTCACTAGGTGTGTGCCTTCATTGCCTTCTGCCATCAGGATACGTTGATGTAAAAGTTTGATAAGTACCAGTGTGCAACTTTAACAGATGTGTAGGAAAGGACTCTAAAGTCTGATTACTCAGATGTTTACTTTTCCATCTCCACCTCTGGTTTTGCCTCTTGGCACTTGCTGATTTCATGGCATAACCCCAGAACTCGGAGTCAGAAGACTAAGTTTAAATTCCATTATTGCCCCCCTCCTTTTTTTTTTAAAGCCATGTTATCATTCCATGTCTGCAGTCGCTGAGAAATACAACACTTTGTAGGGCTGTTGGTGGTATTAAATCAGATGGCGAATATAGGAGTATATGGTAAACTACAAAGTTGGATGTGAATACAGGGGATTATAGTTCTCATGAATCCTGCTGCTTTTCCTTTCTGCAGTTGAGGGAATATCAGCAAAAGAACAGCCCTGGTATTCCTGCAGGAGCGAAGAAGAAAAGGAAGATCAAACATGGGAGTAGTCCAGAGACAACCACCTCTGATGGTTGTCACTCTCCCGAGGAGGTAAGTATTGGCTGGCCAGGCTCCTGGGACCAGGGTGCTCAAGGGGCAGTAGAGGGTGATGGTTAAGATTGTGAAGGAAGTGTCAGGTACAGGTTTGAATCCTACCTCTCCCTTTGCTGGGGATAATGTCCCTGCTAGGGATATATTTCCACATCAGTAAAATTGGGGTAATGTTATTTACACTTGTGACACTGGAATGAGATGGTTGATTTTTTTTTTTTTTTAAGATATATTTATTAAAGAGAGAGCTGGGGGTGTGGGGGCAAAGGGAGAGGGAGAGAGAGAAAAGCCTCAAGCAGACTCCCGGCTGAGCACAGAGCCTGACATAGAGCTCCGTGCCAGGACCCTGAGATATGACTTGAGCCGAAAGAAATCAAGAATCGGACATTTAACTGACTGAGCCACGCAGGCCTGGCACAGGGCCTGGTGCAGGGTAAACATTCAGTAAAGGGTAGTGGTATTTGACGTACTGATCTGGTGACTTTGCTCATCCCCAGCCCCAAACGGGAAGCCAGGCAGTGAGAGCAACCATGTGCCATCACAATGTCCCTTTAGAAAGCAACAGAAGAGGCCCAGGGTGTAGCGAGGAGAGCCCCAAGCACTTGGGTTAGGTGACATTGAATTTTGAGTCCCTCTTTGCCACCAGCTTGCTGGGCGACCTCAGGAAAATCACTTCCTCCCCTGGGCCCAGTGGGCTCATCTGTAAGATGATATTGTTGGAGCAGATCAGTGTCTTTCAGACTTCTAGCTGGAGCCCCTTGTCCAAGCGAACCCTTCCTCGGAAGTCTGGTTTTTAAAATGGAGATGACATTCCTGTCAGATTCGTCCCCAGCATCCTGGGCCTGAGGAGCGGGTCTCATGAGTGTCTTAAGAAAACCGCTGCATTGGGCCGGTGACTGCATTCTCTGTCTCGTTCAGGGGACTTTTCCCTCTGTGTACGCTGATTTCTGCCTCCAGCAAGGCAGCTGGTGGCCGTTTGAGAAGGCGGCCTGGGCCATGGATTTGTTCCCCTCTCTCCTCTTCCTCCTACCCTGACTCTCTCACCTCTCTCTAAGCCACTTTCTCTCTCCCCTTGCCCTTGTTTCTCCCTTCTCGCCGCCTGTAGATTCAGGACATCCTGAAGGTGCTGGTGTCCGACCTTAACCGCTCCAATGGGGTAGCGCTCCCCCCATTGGACAAGTGGCAGGTGAGGTAGTGCCGAGCCCCCTCTCTGGCTTGCTCTCTCCCAGCTGTGCATGCCCCAAGGCTTCTCTGGTTTGGGGGATACTTTGCCTCTGGCTTATTTTATGTTGCTGTCATTAACCCTCAGCCTGTTCATGTCTGCTTTTTTCACCTGCTTGGTTGATTGGCTTGTTTTCCTTGCCCCCCATCTTTTATCATCTTGAAGAAGGTGAGACACGCCTTGAAGTTTAAAGGTAATTTGGAAGAGCTTCCAGAGCAGGTGTGTGGGATCTGGGCTTTTCAAGCGTTGAGTATGAATACCCAGTGGCGTGTCAGACTCGGAGAGATTAAATAAAAGCAAACCTTCAGGCTTGCCCTTTGGGCACCCATCCCCAAGTTTGTGCTCTCTTTGAATTGGATGACTTCATTTTGGTTTGAGAGTAGGGGACTGTGGGGTTAAGACGAAGGGAGCGTACATTATAGTTACAAGGATCGAGGTTATTTTTTCAGAGGAATTAACTGTAAAGCACATGAGATTAACCAAACAGATGAGCAACCAGGACATCCCGCCCCTGTTGTCTTTTATTTTATTTTATTTTTTTATTTTTATTTTTTTTTAATTTGCGCGAGAGAGAATGAGACAGCATGAGAGGGAGGAGGGTCAGAGGGAGAAGCAGACTCCCTGCTGAGCAGGGAGCCCGATGCGGGACTCGATCCTGGGACTCCAGGATCATGACCTAAGCCGAAGGCAGTTGCTTAACCAACTGAGCCACCCAGGCGCCCTTTTTTAAAGATTTTATTCATTTATTTGACAAAGAGAGACACAGCGAGAGAGGGAACACAAGCAGGGGGAGTGGGAGAGGGAGAAGCAGGCTTCCCGCAGAGCAGGGAGCCAGATGCGGGGCTCGATCCCAGGACCCTGGGACCATGACCTGAGCCGAAGGCAGACGCTTAATGACTGAGCCACCCAGACGCCCCCCTCCCCCATTCTCTTTTAAAAATCAACTGGACATTTGGCTGTGTATTCAATGGCCCTTGCTAGGGGAGGTGGTTGGCTAGGTGCTCGAGAAAAGAGGTAAAACCAGGTCGAATGCACACTGAGGGAAGCAGACCCCAGTGCAAGAAGCAAAGGTAGACTGTGACAACGTTCCAAGTGCCCAACTGAGGGCAAGGTTGGTTCTAAATGGACTTGAGACTGGTTTGAAGATTACAGGTGGGTAGCATTTATCCAGATGGAGAGTGGGGAAAGTGGGAGTCCCAGGCAGAGGGGAGGGTGGGATGCAGGTAACAGCCAGCATTGTGAGCTCACAGAGCATCTCCCAGAAAGGGAGCCTGGGTGGGTTTTCTGGACATGATGTTCACACTTTGTCCTGGGACACCGGCCAGGCCGGTGTGGGGGGAGGGGGGAGGGGGGAGGGCTGAAATGCGGCCAGGTCCTGCAAGAGATGGGCATGGAGAGAGGGCGGGGACAGAGCTCTGGATGCTGGTGCGAGAGGCTTTCACCCACTGGGACCACTCATGCCTGAGTGGTCGGGTCTGTCCAGGTGCTGTGACTCACGTTGTGATCTCAGAGGAGCTGCTGAAGGGCACAGGGAAGGGAGCCCAGGCCTAGAGGACTCCTGAAGCTGGTATTTGCCCTGAGTTCTAAGATTCTGTGCCCACACCCCTCTGTTGTCCTGGAAACGAAGACCCAGATCTTTCTTGTGGTTTTTAAATCCTCTCTGTATCAATGGCTGTTTCCCACTTAAGTTTTCTGTTCCCGCAATGCAGGCTTGTGGTTACAGGATCCTGAACAGAGCTGACAGCATTTCCAGAAATGGGGAATCATGGAGAAATAAAATTTTAATGGAATGGGACAGCTGGGGGAGTGGAGAGTGATTTTTTAAATCCTCCATTTTGCTATAAGACCTAAAATTGTGAAATAACTGGGTTGATCTTAAAATCGGTGTGTTACACCTATTTAAGTCCTCAGAAAATTACTTTTTTCCTTTTCTGAACATTCTTGTGTCTAGTGCTAGGGATCTGTGGGAACCCAGGATGCCAGGAGGCACCCAGAGCTTGCCAGGGCCCAGGGCTAGAAGTGCCCACCTCCCCCAAAGTCTCAAGCCCGGCCAGCTGCTGAGCCTCTGCTCTTACCTGGGAGATTCTATTGACAGGTTGGCAAGGCAATTGCCAGGTCCCAGGGTCAAAGGTCACAGCCTGGCCAGTAAACATGCAGATTGCTTGATTCATCCTCAGCTTCCTGGGCTCTGCAGCACTAGCTCTAAGGAGGGCAGTCGAGTTGACTTTTCAGAGGCCAGGGCTGATGGGTCCAGAGGACAGCCAGCCCTGGGTCCCTCTTCCTTCCGGCCCCAGCCTCGCTGGCCGGGCCTTGGCTCCCTAGTGTGCTCCCCTCTTCAAACTCAAGCTTGTCGGCCATCTTCCCTGTCTCTCTGCTCATCTTTGCTCCTCATCAGACATTAGATCCGTAGAGCTAGATGCTTGGGCTGTGTCAGGCCTGAGCCCAGAAAGAGGCTGGGTGGGGCCCTGGTCAAGCAGGTGGGTCCAGGTGGGGAAGAGGGAGCCGTTTCTCCATGGGTCCTTGTCCCCAGTCGCAGGATTGTTCTCCAGGATACCAAGAGTCAGAGGGTAGATGTCCTAGCTCTGGTTTCTCACGTTGGTTCTCAGCTGGGTAGGTGTTTCGGAGCTAGGAGGTTGGGGTGAGGCTAGTGGCCATGTTTTTCTTCTTCCCTGCAGGAGTAGGGTGAGGCATCTAGTTAGGTAGCTTCTTTCCCAGAAAAGGCCTGAATTGGGCAAATACAGCCAGTAGTTGGAGAAAGGAGGGGGGAAAGGAAAAGCGAGCAGGGAGGAAGGAGGCAGATAGTGGCATTGGCCACGTCCTTCATCACCACCACCCTCTGCCTGGCAGGGCCCAGGATGAGGGTCACTCTGGCATTCCAGAAGAACAGTGCCTTCCTTCTCCCTGACCGGGCACTCCTGTCTTCCATCTGCTATGGCTGCTGCAGGTCAGAGCCTGATAATGTCTCTTGCTGAGCTCCACGGAGAACAAGGCCCCCATGTTGAGGAAGGAGGTCGCGCAGACCCTGCTTTGAGCTTTGGCCGTCCAGAAGGCTGCAGAGCGGCCCTCAGCTTGGGCGAGTCATGGCCGCACTCCACTCCAGAGTGGCTCCCAGCATGTGTCACTGTCACTCTGACCACAGCAACACCTGTCCTGCCCGCTCTGCACTCCTGCATCCATGGCAGCAAGGCGCCTTCTTACCCGCATGGCCCCTAACCCCCTGCTCTGTTCTGTGACAGGCGCCCAAAGACCGCGCCGCTCCTGCCGCACCAACTGTTGATGACACCGTGTCACCTGATGGTGTCCCTCCCCGCTGTGCTAGTCCCCCCTGTGTCACTAGCATGGCGTCAGTTCAGGTTTGTGCCTCCTCACCCTTTGCCTACCGCCCCACTCGATGTTCGCCCCCTCCTCCTCAGAGGACTGGACCTGCTTTGGGTCCTCTTCCCCTTTCTTCAGGGAGCTTGGTTCCTTCCGGAGGACTGAGGTGGGGGAGGCCGAGACTAGGTCTTTCCTTGAAGTCTGGGGAGTTGGCAGGTTGTCAGAAGGTTCTTGCCTCCCCCCATCCCTGGGTGGTCTTACCAGCAATTGAGTGACCACCTCATGTGTTTCTTCCTGAGCAGAGTCATGATGCAGAAAATGGCCCTTTCCTCATGGATGAAAGCAAGTGAGTATCTCCTATGGGGGCAGCAGTCCCTAGGCCGAGGGAGTCGGGGTAGGCCACTGCCTGCGACCTCCTCTTTCCCATTGAGCCTCCTGCACCCCTGACTCCCGTGTTCGTCCCCAGATGTGTGTCATCTACCGAGAGCCTGCGACAGCTATCTCAGCAGCTCAATGGTCTTGTGTCTGAGGTACCCCAGGAATTGAAACCCAAGGTGGGGGGTAGATGGGGGGATATGACAGAAAGAATGAGGCAAGGTTCCCAAGAGGGACGGAAGAGCCCAGGAGCAGCCAGCTTGTTGGGCAGTGTTCAGCTCGGCAGGACTCCTCTGAGTCATCTTTGAAGCTCCCCAAATTGAAGGGGTTGGACCTCGAAGCTGAAGCTGGTTATGTCATTTGATCCCTCTGCAGGAAGCACAGAATGAGAGCCGCCTGGGAGGGGACAGATGAGGGGGAGATAAGAACCAGGAGGAATTGGCACAAAGGGGTTAGGCAGAACAGTGTGCAGCTAATGGGTAGGCCAGGGAGTCGGATGGCTTAGGTCCTGGGGGGGGGGCAGAGCGCACCTCCATGTGAGCCCTTTCGTGTCTCCTAGTCTTCATCCTACATCAATGGAGAGGGCCTGGCATCATCAGCTAATATGAAGGATCTGGAGGTAAGTGGGTCTGGACCGTGGCCCAGTGACCCTGCAGGCCAGCCCCCCCCCCACCTCCCACAGTGGGGGCTGGGTGCCCCGCTGCCAGCTGAGACAGCCCAGACAGCCCCCAACCCTAATGACTGCTCTCTCTACCTCTCCCCCCGCCCTCATCCAACTCCTCCTCCTCCTCCTCCTCTGCATGCGCCTCAGAGCCGGTACCAAGAGCTATCACTAGCCCTGGATTCCAGCAATCTAACAAACAAACAACTCAGTAGCAAGATAGAGGAATTGGTAAGAGTCCAGTGGGGTCCCCTGATTCCACACTGCCAATCTGGGGCTCCAGTTTCTCCCTGGGGCTCTGAAGAAAGGGACTGGGGGCCCCTGGTGCCAAGGGAGAATGGGGTGCCGGGGGGCCTAAGTCTCCATTGGAGGGACCCCGGAGCACGGAGCATGCAGCATGGCTCTCTGTGGCTGCCCTCTTTGCCTCCTCTCTGTTCTCCAGACACCCCTGCTTGGATCCCCATACTTGCCCCGGGGCTCTTGCCTCTGGAGGAAGCACTGGTTTGACTGGTGCACTCTGGCCTTGACTCTCAGCCCCTAATTTGCTCCATCTTTCAACTCGGACCAGTCACCTTTCCTCTCTGGGCTTCCGTTTCCTGCGGAGGTAGAATTAGAGGTGGCCAAGGTCCCTTTTAGCTCAGAAAATCAGGTCCTTCTCATTCCTGTATCCCTGCTATTAAGAACAGAACCTGGCCTGGTGGGGCATGCTCAGTAAATATTTGTGAATGAATGCACCCTTCTGAACCACGAACTGACAGAAGGGTAGTCTAGTCTCACTTCTCAACTCCCATTTCTGGAGGTTTAGGTCCTTGTCCTTTCATGGGCATCTGGATCCAGACTCTCACTTGCGTAGCTGTGAGCCAAGCCACTTAAGACCCAAAGTCTCTTTCCTTGGGAGCTTGAGGAGAGTCTGTCAGTTCATGTCCCCGTGAACTTTCCCTTTAAAACCCGTTCCTGGCCCCTGCGCATCCTCCGTCTTGGTGTGGGGAGGGTAGTAAAGGGGGACAGACTGAGTTACCTTCCTTTGACTCTCCCCACAGAAACAGCAGAACCAGGAAACTTTGGATCAACTGGAAAAAGTAACGTGATTTCTTTGCTGATTACATGGCAGATGGGTTTGGGGAGGATTCATATGTAGAGGCCCATTCTCATCTTGGTCTGCTCCTAGCCTGGAGGAATAAAAGGCCCCCTCCCCATCCCCTGCCCGCCCCCCCGCTGCCCCCCCCCCCCCAGCCACCCCAATCTGGCCATATTGTTGAGCCTGTCCTGGGCCATCGGTGGCATTCTGGGAGCGTTGCTGTTTCATCTCTGCCTCCTCCCAGTCAGGGATGTTGTGTGTCCTCCTTCCTGCAGGAGAAGAAGGAGTTTGAGCAGAAGCTTGCAAAGGAACAGGGCTCTCTAAGGGAGCAGCTGCAGGTGTGTGGAGCCGAGGTCTCCCTCCCACCCTCCAGGAGACGCTTCCTTCCCTCCTCTTCAGCGCCTCTTTGCCTTCTTTCCCAAAGGTTCACATTCAGACCATAGGAATTCTCGTGTCTGAGAAAACTGATTTACAGACAGCCCTGGCCCATACACAGCAGGCGGCCAGGCAGAAAGCAGGTGAGGGTCTAGACACCCTCCCATCCCTCAGCCTGGCATGTTGGCAGGCCTTGGGTGGGATTCCTTCCTGGGTTCCATTTCAAACTCTGTCATTCCAGGAGAGTCTGAAGATCTTGCTAGTCGCCTGCAGTCCTCCCGCCAGCGCGTTGGAGAACTGGAGCGCACCCTGTCTGCTGTCTCCACACAGCAGAAACAGACGGACAGGGTAAGCCCGGCATCGGACCCATCCGCGGGAGGTGCAGCTTCCCCGACAGGTCCCTTCCACATGATGGAGTGTCTTACTGCCCAGAAGGCAGCACAGGCCGTTTCTTCCTGCTTTAAAGTTGTGTGTTGTTAGAAGAAACGCAGGGCTGAGCTGGCTGTCTTGGGGGAATTGGCAGTGGTGGGGGCTGCTTTCTGGAGCGAGCACTGAATGCAGAGGCCAGAGCCAGAGAGCCAACGCTGCTGGTCACTGGCTATGGGCCTTGGCCGAGTACAGGACGGTACTTTTAGTATGTTACCATTTGTGTAGGAAGGGAAGCATGTGTGTAATAGATAGAAGGTGCATGAAAGGATTTATAAAAACCCAGGGAGAGGAACAGGGTAGCTCTGGGAGACCTGTCACCTCTGTACCTTCATGAGTGCTGGGCCTATGAATAGATCATTCAAAAAAGAGACAGAAGATCCCAATGCAAATTTAATTCCACTCCTTGGATCTGCTCCCCCACCGCAGGGAGAAATTGTGGGTGAAGAATCAGACAGACTGGATGTTTAATTCCAGCTCTGCTGGGGATCGCAGGCAAACGACTTCACCTGTGACAATCTGCGTTCACCTGTAAAACAGACACAGTCGTGCCTGCCCCATGCGGTGGTCGCAAGGCTTGAACGCGATCCTTAGCCTCGTGCCTGCTGACTGGCTCAGGGAAGGATCGGTCACGTAGCAATGCCACGAGCTCTGTCCGGGCCTGCGCTGGCCAGCCGGGAATCTCTCCCACCCTGCCCGAGCTCTTTTCCGAGGCAAATGAGAGCGTGGGCTTGGAAAGGCTTTGAACGAAGCGTCAAGGGTAGCTGATAGTCCGCCCTCCGCACCCTCCCCCTGCCCGCGCCTGACCTCGCCTTTCTGTGTTGCAGCACAACAAAGACTTAACCAAAGAGCGAGATGCCCTGAAGCTGGAGTTATACAAAAACAAGTAGGATGGCTGGGGGCTGGCAAGCGGGAGGGCTGTGGGAGCAGGGAAGGGGGTCCTACGGGTTAGGACCCGTGCAGAGCTGGGCTCTGGGCCCAGCGGTGCCACCAACGCAGGCCGTGGCCTCAGGCCACTCAGGTCTTCTCTCTGGCCTGCCACTGGGGACTCTCGTTCCCTGGGGTCCCTTCCGAGGCCCCTGTTCTGTGGCTCTGTGGCAAGTGTGGTGGGTTGGTCACCAGAGGGCTCCTTTCTGTTCTGTACTTGTGTGTTTCCTCGCTGCCTGTGGCCACAGCAAAAACAACGAGGACCTGACGCAGCAGAACTCGGAACTGGACGAGAAGCTTCGAGTGTTGGTAAATGAGAAGGCGGGCATGCAGCTCAGGATGGAGGAGCTGCAGAAGAAACTGGAGATGTCGGAGCTCCTGCTGCAGCAGGTAAGGCCGGAGCCCCAGGGAGCCCGAGCCCCAGCCGTCTGGGGCCGCTGTCTCCCGGGATTGTCGTGGGCGGCCTCCAGCCACAAGCTGGAAGATTTGGATCCTTGCTCTGGCCCCGCCACAGAATCCTGCTCCCAACACTGATCAAAATCTACAAATCGGGGCCTGGCCCAGATCTGTGGAATCAGAATCTCAGGGAGAGGGCTTTTTTATTTTGTTTTTTAAAGCATCCTGGGTGAAAACCATTGTTGTACGGGTGGCAGGCATAAGGCTAGCCCGTGAGTCTGTCTGCTCCCTCCCGGAAGGCTGGCCACCAGGGTCAGAGAGCTCCCCTCCGTCAGAGTTTCTTCACACCGAGCCGTCCTCTGCCTTCAGGTCGCTTCCCTCGGTGGGGCTCTTACCTCCCGATCAACACAGGAAAAATCGTGTCTCTTTCCCAAGACAGACCTTCTGATACTGGCGTGTGGGGGGGGGGGCGGGGTTGCGGATTCCTTGTCGCTCTCTCGTCTTTTCCAAGCTACACAGCTATTTCTCATGTGGTCTGTCACCCTCCTGATTGCTTTCTCCTGGATATGGGACCTGATTTGTTAGAGCTCCAAATTTGGTTTGGCCTGGGCAGCAGACAGAGTTCTCTACCCATCCACCTGTCTGGCCACCCATCCGCTCAGCAAGTGTTAATTGAATGTCGCCTCTGTGGCCCATCCCTGGGATGGGCAGTCTAATAAATGGCCTGCCAGAGATATAAAGTGAGGACTTGGAAGTTGATGGATGCCCGCACTCTGTGCCCTGACCGCCCCAGTTCTAGGACCTGGACCAGTTTGTGCCTTATTCACTATAACCAGAAAAGGATCCGGAAGGATACACACCAAGTCGGGGGGATTGGGAGCTAGAGGAACACTTACAATGAGTATTTAGTTAACGGAAAGCCTATGGATGCAGTACTAATAATGTGAGCATAGAGATCTTCATCGATCCCAAGTTGTACGTTATCCCAGCTCAGACCCTTTTGCGGGGGGGCCTTGTGTGGTACAGCTGGGCCACCAGGTACACCTGGTACATCTAACCTCATCTTTCATTCTCCAGTTTTCTAGTCAATCGAAAACCCCTGATAGCAGCCAGGAGTTACAGCAGGCCCTGAAAGACCGGGCACAGCTGGAGGCCCATGTGGGGCAGGTGAGGCCTTGCAGAGCGAGGGGGGCGAGAGGAGGGTGACCCCAGGTGCCCAGGAGTCCACGAGGCACAGGGACAGCCCCTGCTAACTTCTGTGCCCCTTCTTGCAGCTGAAAGATTCACTGAAGCAACTGCAACTGGAGAGAGACCGGTATGCAGAGAATCTGAAGGAGGATAATGCCATTTGGCAGCAGAGGATGAAGCAGATGTCTGAACAGGTGAGACGTGACCTTCGGCCCCCCTACCTTAGACAGGTCACGTGATCTTTCCTGGGCATCAGTAAAATGGGAATCCTGTCACTTGCTGTGTGCAGCCAAGGGGGGGAGGGGTAGAGAGGGCGATGGTCCTCCCTTCCCGCCCCCCACACGCCCCGCCCCCCTGTGCTTTGGGCAGATGCACAAATTGAGGGAGGAGAAGGAGCACAGCGTGAGTCAGGTGCAGGAATTGGAGGCCAGTGTGGCCAAACTGAAGAACCAGATAGGTAAGCTGGGGCTGGAGGATCTGGGAGCAGGATTGGTGGCAGAGGGCTGGTGAGAGTGCCTTCGAATGCCCCTAGGGATGTGGATGGATGGAAGGGGACTGTGGCCAAGGGAAGGAGGTCTATACCAGGAGTTGGCCAGTCCGGGTAGAGCGCCCACTGGCAACCACCCAGAGTTGTCTTGAGCATAAAAACCTAAAGAACTCTATTCCAAAGTGTCTTGAAAGATTGCACGTCCCATGAGTGTGAGGGGACTGTTAGCCAGGAGGCCAAGGTTTGGGGTGACGAGGCCCAGTTAGAAGTTGTGGACCAAGAAGAGGGGGTTTCGGGAGGCACAGAGGTGAGAGGCCCCTCCTGTGCGCCCCATCTCAGCGGTGCCCCCAGTTCCGGAGCCCCCAGCCGGGCCCTCGGAGGAGGAGCAGCGGCTCCATGAAGAGGCTGAGCAACTGCAGAAGGAACTGGAGATCCTGGCGGGGCAGCTGCAGGCCCAGGTGAAAGACAACGAAGGTCTGAGTCGCCTGAACCAGGAGCAGGAGCAGCGGCTGCTGCAGTTGGAGCGCGCTGCCAAGTGCTGGGGCGAGCAGGCCGAGGAGCACAAGCAGATCCTGGAGACCATGCAGAATGATCGCACCACCATCAGCCGCGCGCTCTCCCAGAACCGCGAGCTCAAGGAGCAGCTGGCCGAGCTGCAGAACAGCTTTGTCAGGCTGGTGCGCGGCCCTTCCTCCCTGGCCGGGTCACTTAACCCCTCTGGGCCTCTGTCTCCCCACCTGTAAAACTGGGGAGTGGGGGTATGGACCCCACCTGACATGGTCCCCGTGAAGGCACCCTGTGAGCTAGAGAGCCCTGCTCAGATGAGCTGTGGGAGGCGGACGCCACATCCTGGGGTCTCCAGCTGCGCCGGGTGGCCGCTGACTCCTCCTCTCTGTCCAGTCCAACGAGAACATGGAGGTTACCACTGCGCTGCAGTCGGAGCAGCATGTCAAGAACGAGCTGGCCAAGAAGCTGGGCCAGCTGCAGGAGAAGCTGGGGGAGCTGAAGGAGACGGTAACCCCCGCGCCGGCCGAGGAAGCCTGGGGGACAGACACCCGCCTGGAGAGTGGGAGGCTTGGCCAGGACAGGCAGCTCCAGCTGGGGGGTGGGGGGCACGTGACTCCAGGGTCCTTCCCAGCCTGCCTGCGGCGCAGGCTCCTTCTCGCCCCCTGCTCTCTGACTTTACGAAGTGGGTAGCCCTGGGCCGAACGAAGGTCGTCGTCGCCGCGGCCAGAGACCTCGAGCCCCTAACCAGAGGGCAAGAGACAGTGTGCGGTGGGCAGCTTCTCAGATTCAGCCCTGGATGCTGCCCCCAGCTCCACTGGTCACTGTTCGCTTCTCATCTCTCAGCCTCGGTGTCCTTTGTCTAAAAGGGAGATTAGCATTTTGCTCACGGAGGTATTGAGGATTAAGGGAGAAGCATGCCTGTAAAGTGAGGCATTCAGGGCGCACTTAGATGTCGGTTGGCGCGCTTTGATTTTCCACTAAAGTTAAAAAGGAGGGCTGTCATGAGGTGTGAGGCCGGGTGAGGGAGGTGCGGGGCTCTGGGCGGGGAGGGGGGCAGTCACTTTGGTCCTGGAGCGAGGGAGCCAGGGGCCCAGGCGGGCGGGAGGGCTAACCCCCCCCGCCCCCCTCCCCCCATCTCCCCAGCCTGGGCTCCGAATCCCCCCCCCCAACAAGCCACTGCCACCACAGCCTCAGTCCCAGGGTCTTCCTGCAGGTGGAGCTGAAGAGCCGGGAGGCCGAGAGCCTGCAGCAGCAGCGGGACCAGTACGTGAGCCACCTGCAACAGTATGTGGCTGCCTATCAGCAGCACGTGGCCGCCTACCAGCAGTTGGCTTCCGACAAGGAGTTGCTGCACAAGCAGGTCCTGCTGCAGACCCAGCTCATGGACCGGCTGCAGCAGGAGGATGTTCAGGTCAAGGTGGCGGCCACGAAGGCCCGCCAAGAGTTAGAGGAGACCCAGGTGAGGGGGTTTGAATGCTGAGCCCCCAAAGGGAGGGCCTGCCACCTGTTTCCCTTCTCACTCTTTCCTGGCCCCTCAGGGACGCCTGGAAGCTGCCACCCAGCAGAACCAGCAGCTCCAGGCCCAGCTGAGCCTCATGGCTATGCCTGGGGAAGGTAAGTGCGGGTGCCCAGGGGAAGGGGACAGAGCCCAAGGAAGAGGGCGACTTTGAGCAGCACCGAATTGAGTGCGAAGGGACCTTTAGGACAGTGGCTCCTCTGGGGACGGGCTGGCCCGAGGTCGCACAGGAAGGCGGGGCGGAGCCGGCCCCGAGCTTTCCTCCCCTGCTCGCTCCACCTCCCCTGTTGGATCGTCTGAGGAGTCTCCGGGTGCCCCGACAGGAGACGAACTGGACAGTGAGGAGAAGGACGAGGAGGCTGCCCGGCCCAAGCTGAGCATGCCGGAGGGCCTGGAGAGCCGAGAGGCCATGGTGAGCGGACCCCCGTCGTTGCCCCTTCCTTCCCTGCCATCTGAGGTCCCCCACCCCGGGCACCCTTCTTGCCTCTTGGTTTGCCTCCCTCGACTTCTCTTGACCCCCGATACCCCCGGGAGCCAATGGTCAGCTGTGGCACCATCCTTGAACCACGGGTAGGCCCACTGAGGCCGGGAGAGGAGGAGCTCCTCTCCGCGCCCCCTGCTCACCCTGAGCAGCCCCCACCAAAAGCACATCTTGCCTGCAGGTGGAATTTTTTAACTCGGCCCTAGCCGGTGCCGAGGAGGAGCAGGCCCGGCTGCGCGGGCAGCTGAAGGACCAAAGGCTGCGCTGCCAACGCCTGGCTCACCTGGTGGCCCCGGGCCCGCGCGCGCCGGAGGAGATGGCCGTGGCCCCCGGGAGCGGGGGCGAGAGTGTGCCTGGGGAGACCCACCAGGCCCTCCAGGCGGCCATGGACAAGCTGCAGGTGAGCGAATCTCCTGCGGCTCGGCCGGCAAGGGCAGGATGGCTCAGGCGGGCTGCCGTGCCCTGACCCCCGCTACTCTGGCCACAGAGCCGATTTATGGAGCTCATGCAGGAGAAAGTGGAGCTGAAGGAGCGGGTGGAAGAGCTGGAGCATCGCTGCATCCAGCTTTCTGGAGAGACGGACACTATTGGTGAGCGGGAGGGCCAGCGCCCAGGGCCGGCGCGGGGCAGGAGCTCTGGGATGGGGCGGGAGCCTGAGCGGCCGCCCATCCACCCTCCCGCAGGAGAGTATATAGCCCTTTACCAGAGTCAGAGGGCACTGCTCAAGGAGCGGCACCGGGAGAAGGAGGAGTACATTAGCCGGCTGGCTCAAGACAAGGAGGAGATGAAGGTAGGGGCCCTGCGCGTCCCTGGGAGTGGGGCGGGGCAGGGGTGGGGCTCGCGGGGGCTCAGCACCTCTCCCTCCAGGTCAAACTGCTGGAGCTGCAGGAGCTGGTGCTCCGCCTGGTACGCGAGCGCAATGAGTGGCAGGGCAAGTTCCTGGCCACTGTCCAGAACCCTGCTGGGGACCCCACTGGAGCGCCCCCAGCCCGAGAGCTTGGCAATGCCAATGGCCAGGGTGGTGAGTAGAGCCCTCGGGGGCGAGTGGGTTGGGGGGCGGTGGGGAGAGCTCGCACAGCACTCAGAGCCCTGCCTCTCTCTCCCCCCGAAGATCTTCAAGAGGTGAGCCTGGCCGACAATGATGGTGTGGCACCTCTCCAGGGAGAGGCCCTGGTGGGCCGCAGTGCCCCTGCAAACCCCACCACACAGCAGATCATGCAGCTGCTGCATGAGATCCAGAACCCCCAGGAATGCCCAGGCTTGGGCAACAACCCCTGCATCCCCTTCTTCTACCGGGCTGATGACAATGACGAGGTGAAGATCATGGTGATCTAAGCACCTGTCACCAACAAGCAAAATCTGAAGAAATGGGGCCGGGGGCTCTGCCCCCACCCTCTCCCTACCACCCTATCATTCCTTCCCAGTTGCCCTTTTCTCCCTACGCTAGCAAGATAGAACCCCTAAAGGGGTATGATAAGCCCCCTAATGGGGGGAGACAAATCGGTGCAGACCCACTTGCCACCTTGGCAAGAGCTGTATCTTTATATCTGGACTATTCATGGTTCCAGAAAAATAAAGAGCCGGAGGCTCAATAGATACAGAGTTTATTTAGGAGGCTCCCTCTCGGGCTCCCTCTCTTGGGGAGCAGGGGCTCCCTGATGACCTCCTCACCCCTACCAAGCAGTCCTTCATTCAGAGGGGCTCATACATCCTCTATTCAGAGGCACTTTGGGGCACAAGTGCCCCCCTGTCCCGCTAGACGACTGGGCAGCACTCTCCTAAGCCTCTCTGAGGCCCAGCAAAGGCATATATAAGCTGCTGGCGGGGTAGGCTCCCCGCTCAGTGTATATACTGTACTTCTGTAACATTTTGTATATTCTGGAGATCGGGCAGCCCCTGTATCATAGCAGAGGTTGGAGCTGGCAAATGGGGAGCAAGTTCTATTAAATATTTGGGGAATGGGGACACTTATTTATTGATAGCATAAGACAGAGGAAGACAGAAGAAGGAGGCGGGGACGGGGTTCTGCCCTGGTGATTCGACTCCTATGGGTTTGCTTTTTATTTCAGAATAAAAGGATTTAGCCATACTTGGCCTTGTGTGTGCCTGTTTTCAGTCGCTGGCCACCAGGAACTGGGGTCTGTGCTGTGGGCATGGAACAGGGAGGAGATCCTGCCAGCAGAGGGCAGGCTTCTGGATTGTGCGAAGCCCCAGTGTTGTCTGAGCCTGAGCAGAGCTTGTTAGAGGTGGGCCAGGCCTGTCACCCCCATGCTGCTTGGGGAAGCCTGGGGGATCCCAGGGGCCCTGCCCTGGAATTCTCAGGGGGCATTCCTGTCCTAATGGCCCAGAGGCTCAGAAGCCTGATCTAATCCTGGGGAGGGAAAACAGGGTCCCAGCACCCAATCCTCCCTCCAGGCCAAGTCAGTGCCCCTGCCCCCTAGTGGGCAGAGCAGGCTTCCCAGGATGAGAACCCGTGAACCCCCAGGTGCTTTCCCAGTAGGCCTTGCGAAGGATGGCGCCTTTTACCGCCACTCCTTACAGCACCTGAGCAATGGCTGGGCCCTTGCCCACCCCTGCATCCCAGTGTTTAAGACTTCCCCTTCCCCTGAACTCCACAAAGAACACAAGCCAGCAGAGGGCAGTTTCCCATCGTCCAGAAGTGGGTTTTATTCTCAGCCGAGAGACAGCAAGCCCGGTGGTAGAGAGCCACACAGCTGCCAGGACGGCGCCCCCGGGGCTCGAGCGGGGGAGGGATGGAAAAAGTGGCTGTCCACAGGCCGGGCAGGACAGGGAGGCTCGTCAGAGGTGGCACACTTTGGAGAGGGGGATGTCAGGGTGACAGTGTTCCCTGGTAGTTGGGCCACAAGACTCCTCAAGGACAGCATGGTGACGGATTCCCAACACTAGAGGCGAGGCTGTGGTGGCCGGCGGGGGGTGAGGGGTGGTGTGTGTGTGTGTGTGTGTGTGTGTATTTATAGTTATTTATAGAATGGGGCAGGAGCAATACCACGGAGGGGCACAAGTGTTCACCAACATCACGCCTGGATGTGTCAGCTCACCACTACAACAGACTAAGTCACAGATGAAGGGGGGGTGCTTTGGGGCTGGGGAGCCACTGTTAAGTCACAGAACAGCTGTCCAGGCAGGCTTGGAAAGGGAGGTCTCCGAGGAATAGAGGGATCTGGTTAGAGGTCGAAGGGGGGCCTGGGGCTCTCAGGACGGGATGGACTTGCCTGACCCGATCGGCTGGCAGTTGGAGAGAAAGCAAAGAGAGAATGGAGAGAAGGAGGGAGAGAAGTGGTAAGGCAAGGGCAGCCAAGCCCGGCGGGGCAGGAGGGGGCTGGCAGGGGGAGAAGACGAAGCTGAGGGTGTGGGTGAGGGTTCTGGAATGGAGGGGAGAGAGAGGGAAGGTGGGAGGAACTGGAGGTGGGTGGGGGCCACAGCTTCCCAGGGGTCTGGGGAGGGGAGGCCAGGACGGCCCTCCCCCTGCCACGCACGCCGGTCTCTCATACACCACCAGGCAGTGCACCCTCAGCTCCAGGCACATGCTCGGCCCGCCCTGTCTTCCAACGTACTGGCCCGGGGCCACCCCTAGCCTCAGAGTATGGGGCCATGAGCCCCAGGCCACAGTCACCAGTCCTCACGGAGAGAGACAGGAGGAGAAAGAACACTGTTTGAACCCGGAGGGCAAAGCTAAAAGGATGGCTGGAGGGGGGGGGGGCACTGGAGGCCCCTCTGGGCGGGCAGAAAGCCCGGAGTCCTCAGAAGGGACCCTGGGGAGGCGGGGAGGTCAGGCAAGCCGGATACCAGCGGCCACAGGCTTATAAGTCTAAGAGGGGAGCCTCAGCTGGTCGGGGGACCACAGGTCGCGTAGGTGAGGCTGGGCCCTTCCTGCTGGGGAAAAGCAGAAGAGCAAGAGTCAGCGGCAGGGACAGAGTGGCAGGCGGGTCGCTGGGTGACTGTGCGGCCCAGCCAAGGTGGGACCCAGAGAAGCTGACTTGCCTAGGTCGGTGGACACTGTGGTCCCCTTGGCTGAAAAGCGTAGGTCACCCCAGGAGCACCAGGCCCCAGGGCCATGAGCCTGTGGGCTGGCTATGGCGCTTCATCTGGGGCCGAGGACGCTGTCATTTGTCGTGCCTCCACAGGCATGACAATACCAAGGAGGGAGGGAGATGGCCTCCGTGACCCTGCCTCGCCTGTGAGCTGTGGACAGGGCCCTCCAGCTTTCAGAAAGCAGCACCCCGCCAGAGCCTTCGCCCCGGATGGCCGCCCCACGGCTGACCCGCTAGAGGACGCGGGGCCTACCAGGGCTCTGGCCCCTGAGCTGGGTGCTGGCTGCCCTGCCCCAACAACGCGGCTCAGACTGGGGAGACAGTGTGGCACCCCCGGGACCAAGTTCCAAGGCCTCTGGCTGAGTCCGGCCCCACGCACAACCCCTTCCGAGTTCCTGCTTCTACACCATCAACCATGAGCTCTCTGCCCTCTCTGCCGGCTCCTGAGAGCCTGGGCGCGGAGCCTGTCCCAGGAACTCCCCAGGCTCAGCCCTGGAGGTCCTGAGCAGTGGCACTGAGTCCCGAGGCTCGCTGAGAGGGAGGTGAGAGAGCCAGCTGGCAGCGAGGACAGAAAGAGGAAAGAATAAGTCTGGAGCTGCAGAAGGGAGAGGGAGGGGAGCCTGGCTCTGAGGTCCCAGGTGCGCCCCCCCATGTGGAGCTGGTGCAGCGGGGGGCGGGGGGGCAGACACACCGTTCATGCAGCAGGCAGAGAGGCCCGTATGCACCTACCGTGGCTGACGCTCCTCAGGGGTCACTGATAGTGATTCTGAAAGACAGCACCAAATCAACATGGCAGTTCACACGCACGGACGGGGCAGGCCTGGGGGGGGGGGTCACGCACACGCACACGCCCGGGCGTGCACACACATGCTGGGAGGCCCCACGGCCCTGCATGCACACGGTGACACACATGCCCGCAAACAACACGCATACACCTCCCCCGCCTCCCACTGCCCAGCGCCCTCACTGGCCGGCACGTGCAGCACGGACGTGGGGCATGCAGCCACTCGGCACACTGAAGCACACGCGTGGGCTGAGTCACAACACAGAAGCTCGCCCAAACACAGGAGGCATTTGCACCAGCTCCCTGCACACTCGTGCCTGGCGTGCTCAGAGGGCCACCTGCAGTGCTCCATATGGGACTGATCTTGCTTTCTTAGGGTCCAGCTGCCATTTCTCTGCCCGAGAACCTTCCATGGCTCCCTAGTCCCCACAGCATTGAGTCCCAAGAAGACAAACTCTTCTGTGAACTTTTAAGGTTCTGCAGCCTGCCCCACCGTACCCAGGGCAAACTTTTCTTATTCTTCCTCCTTCTATCTGCACTCTTCTCTGGCCAGCGGCTCTCCTCAATGCATCCCACACTAAACCTTCGCCCGCACCGACCCAGGTGTCCCTGACTCCTCATCACCTGAGTCTTATCTCAATCAGCCCCCAGACCGCCCCCAGGTCAATCTGTCTTGAAGCTTCCCAGACTGTTCTCTTCCTCCGAGGCAGGGCCGTGACTTGCCAAGTGTTTTCCGTGTGTTAGCAAGACTGGAGTTAGAGCAGGTGCCAAATCTTCCTCTTCCCATATGTCACCCCTCAGCGCAGACCTGGGCATGTCAAATACCCTTAAGAATCTGAACTCAGAAGGGAAGTTAGCAAAATGCTCCTATAGCCAAATTTGCAATTCATGCAGCTTCTCTACCTACAGTCACTGTCTCCCTTGATCCTCACACCAGCCCTGGGAGAAAGGCAGAATGTTAAAATATCATGTGGTAGAAGGGAAACTGAGGCCCTGGAAGGGAAAGTGACTTGCCTAAAGCCCAGGATGAACCAGGACCTCTGGACTCCAATCCAGCGCTCTTGACCAATACCACGCTGCCTGCTTTACCCCATCTGCTTTGGTCATCAGATCACCGTGGAAGCAAGTCCCATCTCTGCTTCGTTTGGGGCTCATGGGGGCTAGACCCACGAAGGCTAGGCCCTACCCTCCAGCCATCTGGAAACACAGGCGGATGCTATTGGTCTGATGTGTTCTTCCTCAAGGAACGTGGCCAATGGAAACAGGACTGAGATATCAGAATGAGCTTCCTTGAAAAAGGGTCATGAATCAAGAAGGCAAATTCAAGGGATGAAGTAGAAGCCTTTTCCTTGGAAATCTCTGGGAACGGGGCAGCCTTCACCCACTCCTGCCCCAACACCCACCATGTTGGTCCAGGCCAGGTAGCGCCAGAGGCAGGGCCAAAGAAGAAAGCCATTAGACCGCCCCATGGCTCCCAGCCCCCTTTCCCAGCTGCTCCGTGTCCTAGCCCGTGCCTGGATGCCATTCTTACACTCACACTCGTGTGCACGCCCACACACACATCACACACCTTGCCGGTCAGTCACAGCCTGGCCTCTGTTCCTGTGGGCCAGAGGCCAGACACCCCCTGGGACAGCTCAAAGAGTCAGGACTCAGAGTAGCCCTGTAAGTGAAAAACCCCACATCTGGAGAGGATCTGGGTTCAGAGATGCCCAGACCTGAGGTAGGTCACTAGGGGCTGGGAGAGAGAAGTTGAGGACGGAATGGAGAACGGAGGAGAGCGAGGAGAAAGGAGGAGGAATGCAGAGAGAAGTGAAAAGGGAGGGAAGCGCCATGCAAGTGCTGAAAAGAAGGGGGCAGGTGGGATGAGTCCCACAGCCCCCTCCCCAGAAAGGACCACCTCCGGGACTCAGAGCTCCCTAGGGCGCAGGCTCCGCCAGCCCTCTGCCACACGTCCGGTGGCTCCGGCACCCACGTCCGAGCGCCCTGGATGGAGAGGGCCGGCTCTGGCCACACCTCCCTCCCGGCTACGCTCGCCCGGCGGTCTCTCCCACCGTATTCAACCCCTACTCACCTGGGGACCCCGGGCGGGGCGCGGTTGGGGCGCGAGGGCACCTGTGGGGGAGGGCCGAAGGGGTCAGGGGAAGCCCCCGGCCTGGAGGGCACGGGGGGCGCCCCCCCCAGGGCGGACCCAGCAGGCGGAGGCCCAGGAGCAGGGCCCCGCGACCCGGGCCGGGCTGGGGGCACGGCGGGGGCTCGGCGCTGCGGCGTGGGGCTGGACGTGGGTGACCTGCGGGCGACAGGGCGCGGAAGACAAGGAGGGGAAGAGATGAGCAGCTCCGCCCTACCTTGAGGCCCCGCCCCAGCCCAGCGCCGGTCACGCCCATGCGCGGAAGCCCCGCCCCGCCGCGCCCTACTTGTTCCCGGAGTTTAAGCCCCGCCTCCGGTGGCTCCAAAGTTCCAGCTCCACCCAGCCCCGCAGCCAGCGCTCCACGGCAAGCCCCGCCCCGCAATAAGCCCCGCCCACTTCTAAGCCCCGCCCCCTGCTCCAGGTGGGAGCCGTTCCGGTGACGCGGGCGCGCCACTGCCCGGTCCCGGCCCTCCTCCCGCGGGCCCCGGGCTGGGGGGCTTTGGGGCCGTGGGGGCCGGCCCTGGTACCTGCGTCCGGCCGGTACGCTCTGCACCTGCAGCCAGGAGTCGTCCACGGGCGGGGGCATGGGCGTGCTGACAGTGGTCGTGTTGATATCGCCGATGATGCTGAGCGCCTCCTTCAGTGCGTGGTACATGCGCAGCATCTCGTCGCGCCGCTGCGCCTGCTCCGCCGACTCCTCCATCAGCGTGTTCTGGTCCCCACACGAGTACAGGTTGGCCAGCAGCTCCGAGAAGATGAATTCCTTCGTCTGCGGGCGCGCGGACAGAAGGACGGGCTGGGACCTGACGCCTGTACCACTCTGAACCCCCGTGGGACTGTACGCTGGACTGGGAGCTCGGGGGTCCTGGCTTTGCCACCGCAAAGCCTTGCGACCTTGGAGATCTCCCCTGCTTCCCCGTCTCCCTCCTTGCCCTTTTCTCAGATGGTCCAGAGGGGAAAAGTGACCTGTCCAAGGTCATGGATGTGGGAAGGCACTCGGGGCCCACCATGCAACCGGGACACCTAGTTACTCAGCTGTGTTTCAGCCTCAGGTTCCCCATCTATAAAATGGGGAGGTTAGTTACATCCTTTCCAAGGACTTGCATACTCCATGGGACCAAAATAAGGGAGATGACAGTTTAAAATTTTTTGACCTTGAGTAACAGGTGTGAATGCGTGCTTGGATTGGGTGAAATGTGAGTCTCTGTGTGTAGGCGGTGGGTTAATGTGCTCCTTATACTCCACAGGTGCTGGTCCTGGGATATTCATGGAGAGGCACTGAGACTTAGGCCATAGGCCTGTGTCTCACTTATCTGTTGTTCAAATATATATTGAGCACCTACTCTGTGCCAGGCACTGTGTTGTTCTGCACTTTATAGTCCCTCTATTATCCGTATTTTTACATATAGGCAAACAGAGACTCCGAGAGGATAGTTTGACTGAAAGTCAAACAGAATTTGTGGCAAATCCAGGATTCAAACATAGTTCTAATTCTCTGGGGGCCATGCCTTTTCATTAAGCCATGGATGGAGTGATTCTGCGGGGCGTGCATTTCAAAACATGGCCCGGGGGTTCTCAAAAGATGTGATTCCTAGTTCCTTTTGGGAAACATTTAAGCATGTTTGGAACAACTTGGGTATGTGACTCTACAATACAATATACAAAGCTCACATTATATTTCTTCTGGACAGCTCTCGTGTGGACCTATACTTACCTCGCTAGACCTGATCCCAAGGGACTGGGCTATGCCTCCCCCAGGCCAACCTGGTCGCTGCCTCCCTGGTCCCCCAAGAGCACCCTCCGCCCATGAAGGGTTGCACCCACATTGTTGATCATGAGGTGCATGATGGTCTTTGGCATGAGGTCCCGCACGGTCTTGTTTACGATGGCCATGTATGAGTCCACCAGGTTCCGGATGGTCTCCACCTGCCGCTCTAGCTGCGGGTCCATGGAGTGCATGAAGCTGTCTGAGCCGTTCTCCTCAGTCTCGCTGGCCTGCCGTTGAGAATAGAGGGCATCAGGGTGGCTGGGCCCTCGCAGCCAGGTTCCAGGCACCCCCAGGGTCTCGGCCCCTCCAAGGGTGCCTGGAACACTGCCATACAGAGAACAGACACCAGCTCCCCCAAACACTCCGCATCTGCACTCTGCCCACCCCAGTGCCTCTTAGGACCCCAGACCCTCATTCAGCCTTATCTTGGCTCTCAGTCTAGTGCCTAGAATTTGCCTCAGTTTCCCAGTCCATCAATTAGGAAAGAACTTCTGAGGTCCCTTCCTGATGCTAAAGACCTGGCCAGAGCTGCCGCCAGTCTGGAGACACCTGGCAGAAGGCGAGGGAGGGGCACACTCACTTTCTCCTTGTCCTGGGAGGCCCACACCAAAGCCATAGAGGTCACGACACCAGCCTTGCCGCCGCCGTCGCCGCCACCAGCAAGCACGGCCCAAGCAGACACACAAAGGAGAAGGCGAATGAACCCAGGGCACTCTACCCCAGCTCTAAGGTAACTCGAGACATCCCCACAGTGAAAGAGAGGAGGAAAGTGAAGGTGGCCACAGAAAGCCACCACGATGCGAAAGGGATGCAGGAAATGCCATCTGCGGCAGAGGAGGGTCACAAAGGACAGGAGGAAGGCTTCACTCTGATCCCAGAGTAGGGGGAGGATCCGCGCTAGTTCTGAGCCGCATAAGGGCTCAGAAACGTGACATGACTTGATATCACTGAGGATGGTGACCCTGGGCCCCCTGTGGGAAGTAGCTTGCTCCCCCCTCCCCCGCCACTCACCCCAACACGCTCAGGATACACGCCAGCCCTCAGGAAGGAGGCCTTCCAGCTATCCACCTCCTCCTGTGTCTCACAGGCCAGTTCCAGCTGCCGATAATCCTTGTAGACATTCCTGCAAGATGGGGCAGGCGGTGAGCGGAGAAGGCATGAAACCCATTCATGCAGGTGGTGAAGGGCACGCATGGATTGGGGGCATCACGTCTGGGGTCCAGGCCTGGCTTTCTCATTTCCCAGCTGTGCGACCCTGGGCAAGTCCCCTCCCCTTCCAAGCTTCCGTTTCCTCGCCTGGAAGATGGGTTAATAAAACAAATCCTGCCTCCCTGGGTCATTTTGAGGATTCAGTGAAATTAGCAGTAAAATGCTCTACTAGAAAGGGACTAGGGCACCTGGGTGGCTCAGTTGGTTAAGCGACTGCCTTCGGCTCAGGTCATGGTCCTGGAGTCCCGGGATCGAGTCCCGCATCGGGCTCCCTGCTCAGCAGGGAGTCTGCTTCTCCCTCTGACCCTCCTCCCTCTCATGCTCTCTGCCTCTCATTCTCTCTCTCGCAAATAAATAAAATCTTAAAAAAAAAAAAAAAGAAAGAAAGGGACTAAAAAAGAGGGGGCGGGGATGAGCCCTCATAAGAGGGGTATCCCTGACCATGCAGCCCCCATTGGCTCCCCCTCGCTGCCTGGGGACCTCCCTGATGGCAGCTCTACTCACCCCTCATCTCGAGTAAGGGGAAGCCCACAGGAGTCAGCCCTGGCTTGGGAAGCGAGAGGCCCGGTACCATCACCGACCCCACTGGACACTGAGCAACAAGAAGGGGATCGGGCCTGATGGGCTCTTCCTTGTCCCCCTGGGCCTGGCAGAATGTCTTATGCAGAGCAGGTGCTCACCAAGTGACTGTCTAAATATTTGTCAAAGGAATGACTTGCTGTGGGGCTTGGGGCAAGTCCCTCTCCTTTCGGCTCAGTGAGGGTGGTTTGGGGCTCCAGTCTGGGGACCCACCTCTGCTCAGTGTTAAAGAGGGCAAAGATGTGCTTGCTTGACATGAAACCTTTCTCCACGTCCCGTAGCTTCAGGTTGTCCACGGAGAGCATGTATTTCTTCTCTTTCTCCTGTGGATAGAGGTGGGAGTGATGGGCGAGGTCACACTGCTCCCTGCTCTGCCTCACAACCTAAGAGCATTCCGGGCGGTGGGGCGGGGTGGGGGTGCTGGGGCTGTGGAGCCCCAGAGCGGCCCTGGGCTGTGGGGGCACCTGCGTGCCATGCACAACAAGGTGCCATCTGAAGAGAGCCTGCCATGGAGCCCTGGGCCTGCCAGGCGCCTCTGGTTCCCAATGGCACTCAAGCCATCCCCACCACCTCTGCATACATGCCAGAGCCCAAGAGCGCAGGGTGGCGAGACCGAGGGTGGCTCCCAGCCCCACCCCAAGCAAGCCCTGGCTGCCGTCCAGGCCAGCCCCAGCCGGGGACCCCGCACTCAAGCCTCTCTCGCCCCGAGCCTGGCCAACGGGGACCGGCTTTGGCTAAGCTGCTGACTTCATTTCCTGACTATGGAGACAGACAAGGGGGGCCACCAGCCCCAGCAGCTTCAAAGGGCTGGCTCAGCCCACGCCACCCCCCTCCCCCACGCCAGCCGCCCATATGTTAGCAATCAGGCGCACAGCACAAGCCTGGAGATGGTACGTCTGTGTGTGCAACATGTGTGTAGTTGTGTGCTTGTGCAAACACACGCCAGCCAGAGCACGCGCCCTGTGACCATTGTGTACGTGCGCCCGCGCGTCTGTGTGAGGAGGTGCGCAGCATGGCCGTGGGTCCGTGTGAGCATGTCTGGGGGTCAAGGCGGATGTGTGCACGCTCCCGTAGGTGTGTGTGGCAGCTGTAAACATCTGTGTTTGCATGGAGCGTGCCTGGGGGGCACTCTGTGGGCACGCATGTTTCCACGCAGATGGTTTGTTGCATGGGCTGAACACGTTTGGTTTATCTGTAGTCGTCTGGGAGGAGTAATGTGTATCTGTGGATGGGCATGTGGGTGCCAGGCCTACGTGCACACTTGTGTATGTCTGCTGTGGGCCGACATTCGTCTGTAGGCTGCTATGTTCAAGGGAGGCTCAGGGATCGGCAGAGGAGGTACTCCGGGTTGGGGCTCTGGGAGGCGGAGGAGGGTTTCTGCTGCTGGTACCCCACGTGCCCACACCACAGGACCCATGCTGTGGCCGGGGCATGTCTGTGTGGATCTCAGGGACTCAGGGCTTGGGTATGAGCCTCATTCAGGATCTCAGGTCGGGGCGGGGGGGAGGGGTTGGGAGGGGACTGGGTTGAGGAGGACCCTGCTCCCCAGTCCTGGCGCCGTCCTGCCCACCTCCTTCTGCCCCCCACACCCGCCTGGCCCGTCCGGCCACATAAAGCCTTCTTTATGCCAGGCGGGTGGCTGGGAGTCCCAGAGGGCGGCTGGGGGAGGAGAGGAGGAAGTTGCACACGCGGCCAGGGAACATCTGGAAGCATTCGAGGGAGGCCCCGCCACCACCCGCCCTGCGCTCCGGGGTTGGACTCTAGGTAGGAGCGGCCTCCTCCCCCCACTCCTCCCTTCCTGCTGGCCGGCCCCCTCCCCAGGCCCCTCCTTCCCAGCCACAGCTCCCGCTCACCCCTGCCACGTCAAAGGAGGCAGAAGGGGAGTCAGGAGCAGAGAGGGGACCACGGGCTGCCTGGGCTGGGGCTGGGGGGCCTTGGATCTCCAGGACATGGGGCCGAAGCTCCCACCCGACGGACAGACACTGCTGCCTGGATGGACCAGAGGACACCTCCACTCCGTCTACCCAGTGTTTAGACTATCTGTTCAGGACTCCCAAATTGTACAGTAGTCTGCACATTGGTTAGGCTGGGCTGGGTTAGACCCTCGGCGCCGCCGCTGGAGAGCTGGACCGACCCCCACCCGCCATCCCAGAACCGGAACCCGGAGACGGGGCAGGGGGCTGGGGGTGGAGGCACGGGGGGGGTTGCTGGGAGGAGGTGCAGAGGGAAAAGGGGCACCCTGCTGTTGAGACGGGATGGGGGTGCTGAGGGGCGGCGGAGGAAGCCTGCGAAGATGCGGGGGGCAATGAGGACTGGGGATATGGACAGCCGCCTGTCTGCCCAGAGGGCCACCCAAGTCCCAAAGACCAGAGGGCTGGCGGCTGGGGAGAGAGGGGGCCAGATCCTCCTCCCTGCAGCCCAGACCACCTCCATGTCCGCAAGCTGGTAGTGCAAAAATCCACTCACATCCGACACACACACACACACACACACACAAACACAACTTGACACGCACACCCCCACAACTCAGACACATACATTCCCACACCCAAACTCAAGTCACACATTCGTGCCCCAAGCACACTCGCACATCTCAGGGGCACCCACATGCACCCTCACAGTGGAACACCGGCTCTCTCCCATTCTTCCATGGCGAGCACATATTCTCAGGTGTTCCACAGGCACATTCTCCCTCCTCAAGCCTATTTGCCGCATACATACCCCTTCATTTCCACACTGGGCACAGGCACACGCCTGGGAGTCATACCTCAGGCACACACAGTCTTCCCCAACCACACCTGGATGCTTATGCCCCAAACCCTCTCCTCCAACGCCCCCCCCAACACCACCCGTCAGCCTCACACACCCCACCTCCCGGCACTCACTGCCCACCCCCACCGCGCCCCCCACATGACCCGACTCAAATGTACACACAGAGCTCAAAAAGACCCCGCCACACGAGGACGGGGCCCCTCTTGGATACATTTCCCTGCAGCGTAGCCCTCAGCCCCAGGTCCCACTGTCCCCTGGCCCAACATATAACGACCCTCACATAAGAGCACCAGGAGTTCTGGGACCAGCAGTCAGCACCCCAGCCCATGAGGGGTCTAGGCAGCCTGCCTGAGCAATAGAGCAGGAAGCGACCCCCCCACCGCGTCACGCCACCTCACACTCCATCCTTCCAGGGGCCTCATGGTCGGGGAGAGGCCAGGGTTGGGGTAATGAGGTCCAGATGACTTGGCGCCCCCGCCAGTGACGACGGAGGGCCCAGCCCAAGATGGGGACGGGGGGAGCCTTGCGCAGGGTGACTTGGAGGGGGCAGGGATCGAGGAGGGAGCTCAGAGACCAAAATCACAGCCCCCACCCCAGCCCCACTTCCCCACTGAGAGCACCCTCTCCTCCAAAAGCTTCCTCAGGAAGAAGGTCCCCTCCCCCACTCTGTGGCCAGCTGGAGTTCATTACCACAAGTCCCCCCCACCCCAAGCCCTCCCTATTCTCTCTGGTCACCTCTGGAATCCAGATGTGGAAGCCAAATAGACTCATTCTTAAAGGAGACCGGCAGCGAGGGAGGGAGGTAGCAGGGGTTCTGCGTGCCCCTGCGGGCAGGGAGGGGTTTAGCGTGGAGCCTCTGCAGGACCCCCATCACTCCCGGCCCCTCGGCCTGGAGGCACCTGGGGCGCCTCCCTTGCACCGCTGGGGTCTGGGGGACTGGGGTGCAGGGGTTAACAGGGTGTCTGGCAGCTGGATATGTGTGTGTCATAGGCCTGTGGGGGCCACGGGGGAGGCGGCACACCCTGGAGCCGGAACACAGGAAGGCCACAGGGCTGGCGGGGTCAGGGAGGGGCGCCCAACACCCCTGCCCACCCTCTCCAGGGCGCTCGGCCCCAGGCTCCCCACTCCTGCCATGCCACCTTCTCTGTCCAGCGTGGATGAGCTCCCAGG